TGAGGAAGTTGTGCCCCAAACAAGCACATTTGGTCCAATATTTCCAATGCTTCAATTCCACCCTCCAATATATCTCAGAGGGAAAAAACTTCCTGGGAGACACTTAGTCAAGGCTGACACAATACAATAGCAACAAACAAGAGATAGTTAGGCCTCTACTCCCAGCATCACAATTAACAGCAGGAGGGATTACTAGGGTGCAAGCGAGGGGAGTCTGTCCCCCCCCAGACAGTGCCACCACCCAGGCTTTTGAACAGGTGTTGGCTGACGACAAGGGGTTCTTGAACCACAAGGACTCGTGTTCAATGAAAGAAGGCTGGCCATGGATGGGGGGAAAACTATAAGATTAAAGCTTATGCAAGCCTGCCATGACTCCAAGGCATCAGGGCACTTCAGATTCGTAAAGACAATTTTGGTGGCCATCCCTCAAAAAGGACATTGAAAGCTATTATACCCGCTGCTCTATTTCTGCAGCAAACAAGAGAGAGCAAGGGAAAACTCCTGGCCTACTACAGCCGTAGCTTAACCTTCAGCATCCTGGAGAGAGATTTCCATGGACACTATCATAGAATTGCCCAAAAGTGCAGGAAACAATGTCATTTGGGTAGTGACGGACCTGTTCTCAAAACAGGTCCACTTCATCCCATGTCAGAAGATTCCTACATCCAAAGTCCTAGCCAAAATGTTTCTGCACCATATATATCATTTGCATGGTGCCCTGCAAAGGATAATCTCAGACGATGGGATTCAGTTCATCTCAAAGTTCTGGAGGGCATTCCTGGCCCTCCTCGGGCCTGATCAGGGGCTGAGTTTGAGTCACCATCCTCAAACGAAAGGTGGATCAGAACACACAAACTCAGTTCTGGAACAATACAGTACCTAAGATGCTTCATACACTATCAGCAGGACAACTGGACTGACCTCCAGATCTACTCTAGCATGTGGCTCACCCTTTTCCGGGTGGCCACAGGCCAAGACTTTAATCCAATGCCAAAACTTCCAGCTGAGGACCCCAGCATACCCGCCCTAAAAGAGTGGATAAAACAATTATAAAACATGTGGCCAGCAGTAAGAAAAGCATTAGAGGAAAGAAACTGGGATAAAAATTTTCCCAATCATACACATTATAAAACCAGTCACGGTAGAGCTTCAGCTGCCAAAAGCATTAAGACAAGTACACCCAGTGTTTCATTGCAGCCTCCTGAAATAATCTCCCCCATCAGACCTAAAGCAGTCACACCGCCACAGCCCATTATGGTTGAAGGCAAACAGCACTTTGAGATTAAAGAAAACCTTGATTCAAGAAAATACCATGGCATGACCCACTATCTAGCACCTTAGAAAAACCTGCCCTGAAAATGAGTGGGTACATAAAAAACATGTTAGAGTTCCTAAAACACTTTCATTCCCAATATCCACATAAACAAAATGACGTTTGTATTCTCTCCCTCCCCCTCCTTTGTTTTTCCTTCCACTTGGACTTCTCCCCCTAGGGGGGGCAGTATGTCAGGTCCCCATAGATCCCTATGGGGATGTTGCCATTCTTGTGGGAGGGCGCTTGGGTGCCATTTTATAACCTTTTCCTGTTTCTGGTGTTTCCTTTACTTTGATGTACCTTCTTGGGAATGGGAGGGGAGAGGGATAAACCTAAGGCCATCTGTTTTGTCTCAGCCTTGGAGAAATGAGCAGGCAGTGCCTGAGAACAACTTCTTATCATCTTCTCAGCTCAACATTCTCACAACAACTTCACATCTGTGAATTGGTTCACCTCAGACTGAACAGAGGGGAGGGGTTTCTACAACTTTTAACCTAAAGGTTTTGAGCAAGAACTTCAGATCCTGCCTTATTCTTCCTCCTATCACTATCTCCCAATAAAAGTTCCTTTTGAAATGCTACCAGTTTCAAGAGTTCTGCTTTCTTGAGGTGGTAGGAGAGGCAAGACCACATTGTTAAATCAGGGGTTTTCAACCCCTGGTCCACAGACCAATACTGATCGGTCTGTGGCCGGTTAGGAATGGGGCCCCGCAGCTGGAAGTGAGCTGAAAGTGTTCCACCTCCAGGCATGCAGTGAATCCTGCAAGGGTGGGGCTGGGGCAGGAAAGCAGTGGGGCAGAAGCCATCTTGCTCAGTGCAAAAGTTCCCCATGAGGTTCACTTGCAACTGGCTTGCCACTCCTGGGCTCTGTGTCTTTCCTTGCTGGGCTCCATTTGGGCTCCTTCCTTGCTGGGCTCCATTGAGCTTCAACTTGCATTTTTCACTTTTGATGCCTCATGTGTTTTGGTGACATCCTGCCTGCTTCTTGCAGTCTGCTTTGATATGTGTGATTCAGGGGTGGGTTCTACTTACCTCTACTACCGGTTCGCAATGGGGCTGTGCATGCACACTTGCTTTGCTCACACACACGCATGCTCTTTTGTGCATGCGCAGGAGCTTCTGCGCATGCGCAGAAGCATTCTGATGACGTCGGGGTCGGTGGGCGGAGCTTCCCACCGGTTTTACTACCAGTTCTATAGAACTGGTGCGAACTGGTGGCAACCCACCACTGGTGTGATTGTCATGTGTGTGTGTGATTGTCGTGTGTGTGCGTGTGTGTTTAAAAGGCTTTCTCTGCTTGGAAACCAAGCCTTTGCAAACTGAGGGGGCTGCACACTTCAAGTTTCTTTGCAAAGTGGCATTGGTCTATGTAGAGTTGGTTTGTTCTCTCTCCATCTCCCTCCCCCCCCTCCCTCCCTCCCACCCACTCTCTCTCTCTCTCTCTCTCCTCTCTCTCCTCTCTCTCTCTCTCTCTCTCTCTCTCTCTCTTCTGTCTGTCTCTGTCTTCCTTCCCACTTTCTTAGAAACAGAAATTCACTGGTATACTCTGGAAGGGAAACACAATAATGAGCCATTGAAAAGTTCAGGCAATGCTCATTCATGCCTCTTTCTGCTTCCCTGGGTCTTTGATTGGGGGTTTCTTTTGGAGCAGAAGCAGAGAGCCTCTTCAAGTGAACGTTTCTCTGTGTCTTCTGATTTTCCCCTGGAGCAAAAGAAAGCCTCTTCTAGTGAAGGCTTCCCTGTGTGTCATCCTTATACTCCCCCCCCCTTTCCCTTCCCTCCACTGTGGAAAAGTTATCTTCCATGAAACTGGTCCCTGGTGCCAAAAAGGTTGGGGACTACTGGTTTACATTCAATAGGATACATAATATAAGTGCAATGTGTCAATTATTATTATTATTATTATTATTATTATTATTATTATTATTATTATTATATAATTGTTTATTATTATTATTTATTATTTAAGTTATTGTTATTAAATAATGATTAGGTTATATGGGCATAATGATAAGTCCTACCTTGATTGGTAAATCTCTATGAAGCTTTAGAAAATACAATTTACACAATAAGTATTATTTTACTTACTTCTAAGGTGCCATTCTGTTACACTGAGATAACATTACATTTGTCTGCACAATGGTAACCACCTTGTATCATATTGCTAGAGACCTCTTGTGTTTACAGAAAAAGAAAGAAAGAAAGAAAGAAAGAAAGAAAGAAAGAAAGAAAGAAAGATTGTTTTGATAGGTTACAGATGTTTTACCATTTTAGACTTGTTGAATAGGCCCGCTCAGCATGATTCACAGAGATGCTGAAAATCAGGTCAGCAAAAGAAAATGTCAAGATGTTTCAAATGCAAGACTGAATTAAAGTGCTGTTCCAAAGAGGGTCACTGACCTGTCTGTAGTATCAGATTCTGAAATGTTTTAGGTGGCAGCTTTGGGAAGTGTACAATAAACTTGTATATCCCATTGATGCCAGTGGGTGATACAGCCGCAGCAGCATTAGAAGGTTAAGTAATTAGTGACCTTGTTTGCCCTGCCCTAGTTATAATAAATAGTGGATGCTGTTGTTTAATTTTATTAATTTTGCATGTTATGTACAAAGCTCTTTCTTTTCATTTTTGCAAAACCAATAGCAATCCCACTGTCACTATTCCTCATAGAATAAGAAAATAAATATGGTTTATATTTGTGGAAATTCTATAGACATTTAAAGTACATAAATATAGGCATTCAAAATATATAAATTAGAGGATAGGATCCCATAGAATTGGATATAATCCCTTTCTCCCTCACATGCTTTTACCATATATTTTGGATTGTGTTAACACTGCAAAAATGAGGCAGAAAATCTATCAGAAATAATTTGTACTGCCCAAGCAATTCTATTAAATGCTTAGCTACTTCTCAGTCAGGCCAACTCATAAGACTGATACAGTGACCCAGTACCTTTTACAGCATTCCTGAACTATTTGAAAAATAAGAATGGTATAAATATTTCAAGCAAATTCATTGATTCAAAATATCTCAAGTGAAAATTCCCCATTTAACTAATTCTGTGATAATAACAAGATAAAAGAATGTTCTCATACATAGAGATGATCTGGTATGTTGCTAATCTATCTCTGTTCTTTTGCCTTGGTTTGTAGATAGAGTACAAGCAAATGATTAAGTATTCTCTTCACTAAGCAGCTGTTTTATTTTATTTAGGAGTTCAAAGAAACATGTAACTCAAATTAAAACAGCTGAACGTGTAAGGATGTCTTTGCTAGAATCATAAAGGTGTGATACAGGCAGCAGGTAATCTGTTTAATGGGTGGGGTTTCTCCTAATTAGAGTGCAAAGACACTCTAATCTTAATATATAATTTCCTCTGACCAAGGATTTTCATGAGTAAATTGCTATGGGAAGAAATGCTCCTGCTATGGGAAGAAATGCTTTAAGGAGCAGTTTAGATTTTCAGAGTTATGTTTTCTTGGGCCAAAAGTAGATCAAAGCTTCAAATTAATATTCATGGTCAGAAACCCCATATAATATGTTTAATGAAGTGATCAGAACAGAGATCACTGTGGCCAAATTACCTCAGAAAAAGTCTAGAAATGGCCACATCTACTGAAACATCTGAAGGTTGTGATGAGATCCTGTACAATCAGTTTACCAATAAGATTTAATAACACGTACCTCTCCCCATAGTATACTTCTGCTCCCAGATCCGTAAAGTGACTCTATAATGATTCTATCTTTGTCAGGATTCAACTTCATTTTGCAGCATTTTCCATCACAAGGTATATTCGCTAAGGGAACACTTGACATTCAATTAATTTTCCATTTAGGTTCAAGAAAATTAGCCAAATTAATGAATGGCCAATAAGATCTAAGCAACTTTTCTGTATCAATAATGTCATTACTTGGAGAGGTCCTTCCCTGAATTCAAAGCCTCCATAAGGAACTATTTACCTCTCCCTTCCCAGTTGACAATGCCTCCTGTCACATAGTGTTGTTCCCTAGTTGGAATATCAAATAAATGGTTAGGAAGGATGAAGCAGGGAAAATGTAAATTAAGCACTGACAGTTCATTTTCACAGCTTGTATTGTATTCATCACTATGTATAAAACTCCTGTCAGAGCTGCTTTGTGAGTCATGGATTCCATGAATTTACATTGTGCATGACCTCTGACACTTGGGCATTTATCTGGTTAGATGAGCTGGCAGCATGATAGCTTTAGAGTCAGCATTTAGTTCTGATGTGTGATTCTGGTGATCTCTCTAAAATAGCAAGCAAGATTAGAGGCAGCACTCTTGATTGCTTAGTATAGTGGGAAATTGCAACCAAGGGAGATTTCAGTGGTCCCGGACAGCCTTTCTAAACAAATTCCAGTGGCCGTTGAACTTGTTGGGAGATATTTGGTAAGACTCTTTAGCTCTTTGTTGGCCATTCTAAAGATAAGCCAGTTTTTCTGCAGGCCCACAAAATTATACTTGTAAGTATAATTCAATATGGTTTTTTCCCCTCTTAGTGTACATGGGCAGGTAAGTCAGATGCTAGATAAGGACCTGCAGAGTGTTCTGCAGAGCATGTGGGATAGTGAGACAGAAGACAAGGATTCCCATGAAAAGAAGGCAACTATCAATTTCCATGTGAAATATAAAGCTACAGTATTTATTTCTTGGAATTATCTAATACTGAAAGATAGTTTAGAATGGAGAAAAATTGAAATTGTTCATTGTATGTTCTTATGAACGAAGGCAAATATGTATGTTATTTTCATGGTCAAAGGAGAGAATCTGGAATTTCTCTGAGGTTGTTCCCAACCTTACAGGCTTTTAAGAAGGCAATTAAGTCCTGGCTCTTTCCCTGAATCTTGGGGTCAGGAAGAGTTTAGTCCCCAGATGATGAAGATTTAAATTCTAGGTCATTTTTTAATTATTTTGTAATGTTTTAATGAAATATTATTTTTGTATTAATTCTCTATGGTTTTCTTTCTTTTATTTTGTACACCAGTTAGAGTAACATGGTTTAGGTTGAACAACCATATAAATGCTTTAATAAAAATAAATAATATATAATAGAGGAATAAAGGTCAGATATATCAGCCGTGATTTCATCTTAGAATTTAGCTTCAGCCTATTCTGTCCCATCCAGATCCTTCGTTCTGCTGTGCTCTCTCTCTGCAAAGAAAGCCCCTTTCTCCTGGTTATTGAACAGCATTTTCCTTTGGCTACAGTTCCTCAGTCCATCGTTCATCCAGCAAAATTGTCAAGCTCCTCATCTGAGTCTGAGTTCACCAGGACAATGTGTGAAGTCAACAGGTGGTAGAGCTCCTACTCTCCAATTTTTTGGAGTTTACATACCAGAAGGAATCCCAGATAATATAGCCAATGTTGCATTTTTTTTAATTTGATTTATATGCCGCCCTTCTCCGGAGACTCAGGGCGGTTTACAATGCAATTGTTATCATATTGGACCACAAAGACCTAAACTGGCCACAGGAGAGGCCGGCTGAGGCGAGGAGTTCCTGGGAGGGAGAAGGGCGAGCTGCATGGTGATTCAGCCAGTTTGCTGAACTGCACACAAAGTTAACAACCGGTTTGGTAGAACTGATGTGAAATGGCTGAATCCCACCACTATCTTTGCTTATGATTCTGTCTCTGCAGGAAGGTCAGAGGGCTATACACTATAGACACTATCTCCATTTGCACTTAGGCCCTTCAACAGACAGGTTTTCAAAAAGTTTAGATGGGCATTTGTAATCTAATGGTTGACCTTTGGTTGACAATCTTTAATTTTATTTTTAGTATGGCAGACATTGTGGCTCAAGCAGTGAGAATTTTACTATAGTGAGGAGCATACCCCTGACAATGATATATCCCATGATGTTGTTCTGGTAGAATGACATCTGCCAGTGAAATGAATTCTTGTTTCTCCAATCTGCTCTGTGGCATTTTGAGATCCTTCCTCCTCATGGTTGAAGGAGGTAGAGAGTAAGAGTAAAATGAGAAGATATCCCATTTCTCAAACAGAAGCCACTTCACAATCTTACAGTAGCTGTATTACTCATCTAGTTTTGTTGACTCCTTTCACCATCCTCAACCCTTGAAATGTATTGAAATATTAATTTCCCCACTAACACTGCTTTCTTCAAGCCTCATTCATCTAAAGCTATCACAATATTTGATCAATTGTTGATGGATTTGTGCTTTATCAATCCCTGAAGAAAAGATGCTCTAGAAATTGAGATTGGAAAAATTGAGAGAAGATCATGGAGATTAAATGAAAATTTGTTTAGATATGAAAAAAAATATAATAGAACTTAAGAAGCAGATGAAAGAATTTTTTGAAATTAATTTGAACAAGGGTACCCCTATTGAAATTGTCTGGGATGCAAGTAAAGCGTATATGAGAGGGGTACTCATTCATATGAACTCTAAACATAAACTGAATAGACAAAAGAAAAGATTAGAAATTGAAGCAGAAATAAAGAAAAAAGAACAGTTACTTATCAAAAATCCAGCAGATGAAAGAATACGTGGTGCTATAAAACTTTTGAAAGATCAATTCCAAATGCTTATGGTGGATCAAGTTGCAATAAATTTACAATATGCAAAGCATAATACATTCTGTAATGCCAATAAACCGGGCAGATGGCTGGCTCATACATTAAGGAAGAAACAGAGTATGTGGACTATCGATATTGGAGGGAAAGAAATTTATCAACAAAAATTAATTAAAGAAGCTTTTGTAGATTATTATACTAAACTATATGCTAAAGATGATATACAGAATGGACTTATAGAAAAATATCTAGAAAATAAAAGAGTTACAAAAGTTACTAATCAACAAAAGGAAAGAATGAATCACCCTATAACAGTGGAGGAAATAATTGCAGCAATTAAACAACTGAAAACTGCTAAAGCTCCGGGAACAGATGGCTTGACTGCAGTGTTTTATAAAACTTTGCAAGCAGAAATGGTGGAACAACTTAGAGACTTATTTTGTAACATACAACAAGGGGGTAAAATACCCCCATCATGGAAAACAGCTTATATTTCTTTGATACCAAAAGAGCAAGCAGGTCCTAAAAAACCGGAGAACTATAGACCAATATCTCTTCTGAATAATGATTATAAAATTTATGCAAAAGTACTAGCCAACAGGTTGATGCCAGTAATTCAAGAGGTGATTCATGATGATCAAGCGGGATTTATAGAGGGTAGATATATGAAGGACAATGTAAGGCAAGTTATAGATTTATTGGAATATCTTGAGAAGAATAAACAGATCCCTGCAGTGCTGGTTTTTTTGGATGCGGAGAAAGCCTTTGACAGAGTGGATTGGAACTTTCTATTAAAGACTTTAAAAAAAATGGACTTTGGGGATCAATTTATACAAGCGGTTTCAGCAATTTACCAAGAGCAAAAGGCACAGATTATTATTAATGGAAATTTAACAACAGATTTTAATATTGAAAAAGGAACAAGACAAGGTTGTCCGTTATCCCCTATGTTATTTATTTTAACACTAGAAGTCTTGTTGAATACAATACGGGATTCAAACAGCTTAAAAGGTATAGTGATAAGGCAAGAGGATTACAGAATAAGGGCATTTGCAGATGACCTGGTTGTTACCCTTTCACAGCCGATGGAATCAATAATCCAGATGAAAGACATTATAAAAGATTATGGTACAGTATCAGGATTTAGACTGAACCAGAAAAAAACTAAGATGATAGTTAAAAATATGACACAAGATCGAAAACATGAATTTGAAAGGATGGCAGGCTTTGAGATTGTACCAAAGGTTAAATATCTAGGAGTTCAGGTTGCAGAATCAAATATGAAACTATTTCAAAACAATTATGAGGTGTTATGGCGAGACGTACGAAAAGATATGGAGACTTGGAAAAAGCTGCAGCTCTCGTTACTTGGAAGAATAGCAGCAGTTAAGATGAACATTTTGCCAAGATTTCTTTTTTTGTTTCAAATGATTCCGGTGCTTAAAAGTGATAAACAACTGAGAGAATGGCAAAGTGGAGTGAATAAGTTTGTTTGGAACAAGAAAAAACCGAGAGTGAAACTAAAAATTATGCAAGATGTTCCAGAAAGGGGAGGCCTTAAACTTCCAAACCTACAGTTATATTATGAAGCAGCAGCTTTGACTCAAGCAAGCGATTGGTTTGGAAGGAAAAAGACTGGAATATTGAATATAGAAAGCTTTGACCTTGATTTTGGTTGGCACGCTTACTTATTTTATGAAAACAAAGTGGATAAAGTATTTAAAAGCCATATACTTAGAGATTCGTTGATGAGAGTTTGGAAGAAACACCGATTCAAATGGGATTATAAAATACCGTTATGGTTGGATCTTGGTCATATTATGTGGAATACAAATATAATGTCACTCGGGGGGTTTTTATATAAAGAAGTTCTTTTTACAGATGCGGGCAGATGGCAACTAAAGACATTAGAGACACTGTTGGACGAAGGGATTAACTTAACTTGGTTACAGTATAATCAACTTCAACTGAGATGGAAAGAGGACCAAAAAAACTGGTATTATGTTGCATGAGGAAGAATTGGTTAGACATATAAAAGAGAAAGGTCCAATGCATATTAAAAGGCTTTACAATGTTTTGTTAGAAAGGGATTCAGAAACTGAATTGGTTAAAGATTGTATGATTAAATGGGCACAGAATTTTGCAGAACCAGTAATGTTGGAAACATGGGAGAAAATATGGGTTCAGAACGTTAAATTTACACAATTGCAGAATTTGAGGGAAAATTTCTATAAAATGTTTTACAGATGGCATTTAGATCCCAAGAAATTATCCTGTATGTATCCTAATGTTCAGCCAAAATGTTGGAGATGTGATAGTTTAGATGCTACATATTATCATGTTTGGTGGAATTGCAAGAAAGTTAAGGCTTTTTGGATAAAAATATGGTGGGTTATGCAGAATGTTTTGAAGAAAAAAATTCAATTTTCTCCACAATTGTTTTTATTGGGTATAGTAAAGGGTTTTACATTGGATGAAACTAAGTTGATATTGTACATGATAACAG